GTCCACAGTGGCGATGATGCCCAACATGCGGCCTGGCAGATGACCGACGATGGTGAGGCGGCAGTTGGGGACCTGAAGGCGGCGTGGCCCCGCAGCACCAGGCGAGGCAGAAGCTGAAGCGGAGGCTGCTGCAGGCGAAGCGGAGGATGAGGGTGCTGCAGGCGAAGCGGAGGATGCTGCTGCTGCAGGCGAGGGTGAATGATGCTGATGCTGCAGGCGAGGGTGGCGCTGCAGGCGAGGATGATGGCCGGACGGGCTCCTCGGACCCCCCAGCAAAAACAGTCACAGAACCAATGCTAGTGATGTTTATTAACAAAGTGGCGTAGTGGCAAAACAGGCAATGAGGGATGACAAATAACTAAAGAAACCTAAACTGGGAAAAAATGTCCACCACATTACACTCGGTCATCACCCATCTGGACCTGAAAGATACCTTCGCCAGACTCCTGTACATTGGGTTTAGCTCATGATTTCACAGAGACTAATAGAGAAACTCTCCTTACTTGGCCTGAACACCACCGTATGTCTCTGGATCCTGGTCTTTCTGACTGAGAGACCTCAGTCTCTCCATGTTGGGAAAAACAACTCCAAGCCTATTACACTGAGCACTGGATCTTCTCAAGGCTGTGTTCTCAGCCCACTGTTGTTTATGCTGCTAACATACAACTGTGTATCTAGATATGAGGGTAACCTAATCATTAAGTTCGAATATGATACCACAGTGGTGGGACTGATTCGTGGAAATGATGAATCATTGCATTGAAAAAAAGTTGAACACCTTGAGGGCTGGTGTAGGGAGAACCATCGGGTGCTAAATGTAGCCGAAACATAAAAGGTGATCATCGACTTTCACAAGGTGTGGATCAAGCATGCTCCCCCCTTCACCATCAGCGGCCAATCAGTAGAGGGAGAGGAAGATGTCAGGTTCCTAGGTGTGGAGATCTTGCAAGGTCTGAACTAGCATCAGAAAATCTCAGTGATCCAAAAAGCAAAGAAAGGAGTTTGAAACAAGTCCCTCTCCTCACCAGCATCCTCAGAATTTTTTTAAGTGGTGTGGTTGTCATAATGTGTGTCAGCGTGGTATTCTAGCTGCAGTATGTCAGACAAAACATGACTGCAGAGACTAGTTGGAGCAGCCGAGAGTTTCCTTTCCTCTGTCCAAGACCTCTTCCAGAGATTCTGCAGGAATAGGCCACTAAACATAATAAAGGACCCCTCACACCGTATCCATAAATGTTCTTAACTGATGCCATCAGGCAAACGGTTCCACGTTAACAGAGGCTGAACCTAGAGACTGAACCTACAGACTGAACCTGCAGACTGAACCTAGAGACTGAACCTAGAGACTGAACCTGCAGACTGAACCTAGAGACTGAACCTAGAGACTGAACCTGCAGACTGAACCTACAGACTGAACCTGCAGACTGAACCTAGAGACTGAACCTGCAGACTGAACCTACAGACTGAACCTACAGACTGAACCTACAGACTGAACCTGCAGACTGAACCTAGAGACTGAACCTGCAGACTGAACCTGCAACTGAACCTGCAGACTGAACCTACAGACTGAACCTGCAGACTGAACCTGCAGACTGAACCTACAGACTGAACCTGCAGACTGAACCTACAGACTGAACCTACAGACTGAACCTACAGACTGAACCTGCAGACTGAACCTAGAGACTGAACCTGCAGACTGAACCTAGAGACTGAACCTAGAGACTGAACCTGCAGACTGAACCTGCAGACTGAACCTGCAGACTGAACCTACAGACTGAACCTGCAGACTGAACCTAGAGACTGAACCTGCAGACTGAACCTACAGACTGAACCTAGAGACTGAACCTGCAGACTGAACCTACAGACTGAACCTACAGACTGAACCTACAGACTAGGGCTGGGCGATATATCAAAAAGTTATCGTTACCGAAATTTATGACTCTCATCGACGTCATTTTGCCCATGTCGGTAAATTCGGTATTTAAAAAAAAGAAAAGGCATGTGCAGGTTGGCGATGTTCATGTCCCTTTAAGACGCTGTGCTACGTTACAGACTTGACGGGGTGGAGTCACATGACTCTACTACCTGTAAAAAGACGAGACACGGGTGAACAAATGGAGGACGATTTAAATGTTGAAGCAGCAGCGACGGAGGTAGAGCTGGTGGAGGAGGAAGAGGAGACGCTTGTTAACAAAAAAAATGCATCATCAATCGTTTGGGAACATTTTGGATTCAACAAGGATGATATTGATCAAAAAATTGTTAAATGTAAACTCTGCAAAAAGACTGTTGCGTCAAGTCAAGGTAACACAACCAACCTCTTCCACCACCTGCAGCACAACCATGTGATTCAATTCGAAGACATAAAAAAAGCTCAAAGCGAGAAGAGAGTAGGACCAGCAAAAACGTCTTCCTCCACCAGGCAGCGGTCAATAACCGAAGCATTTGCTAGTACTCAACTATATGAGCGAACTTCAAAAAGATGGCAAGAAATCACAAATGCTATAGGCTACCACATAGCAAAAGACATGGCTCCTATTGCTACAGTGGAACGCAACGGGTTCAGACACTTCATGAAAATAATTGACAATACGAACTCCCATCACGAAAATATTTTTCAAAAACTATCATTCCCAGCATGTACAGCACAGAGAGGGAAAAGGTTGCTGCTGAATTGAGATACGTTAAGCACGTTGCAGCCACATCCGATCTCTGGTCCAGCCGTACAATGGAGCCGTATATTAGTCTCACAGTTCATTACATCGACAACAAATGGGAGCTGCGTACCAGAGTGCTCGAGACGGCCTATTTTCCATCTGATCACACGGGGGAGATGGTTGGACAGGGGTTGAGAGCGATGCTGTCTGCATGGGACATCAGTGAAGAGGACCTTGTTGCTATAACAACTGACAACGGCCCAAATATTGTGAAAGCTGTCAAGCTCAATAAATGGACACGGGTGCAATGTTTTGGGCACAGGCTGCACCTGGCAATCGGTAAGTGTGTACATCTTAATATATTTGGGTGGTGACATCTGGTGTGTTTTAAAGTGACTTTAATTCTGTGCGTCATATTCAAAATTGAAAGTATTAATGTTTGAATAATGTTTATATAGGCATAAAATACTTAAGACTGCTGAGCAGCAGTGTATCCAGAAGGTTTTTACAGAAGACTTATTGTGAGACAGTGTTGATCATGTTGTGCTGTGAAATGTAGCAAAATACATGATTTTTAAAATGTTTTATTACTGTGCCAACCCTTTTTAACTTTGTAAATTAAAGATCCTGCCTGAAACCTGACATGGTCAATATGCTTGTGTTTCTTAGCAAGAACCTGGAGTAAACACTACTCAGGTAAACATCTACAACAGTAGTTTGATTGAACCGCTCAGGATACCAAGTCTGCTGCTGCCCCTTTTTGAAGTGCCCTGTTCAAGCCCTGCCTAATTTTAACTATCAGTGTTCTATTGAAGTTTTTTGCAAACAGCACTATTTAATGTTTTTGTTTAAGAGTTTATAGTTTTCACGAGTCACATGGCAGTGCTTAGTATTTATTATCGTTTTTTCTGTGTTCAATTGACATTTGTGTTTGTGACATTATTTGTTTACAAGTTCTAGTACCTCAAGGCCTTAGCAGAGATAGGCCTTTGTCCATGACGGCATTACATTTGCACAATCATTGTTTACTTTGTGAATAGCCAATGTGAAACATATTTATTATTAAACTATTTTGTTTACAAGGGATACACATTTTTAGAGAGCATGGTTACATATTGTATCCTACACTTTTTATTTTGTTCAGTTAATAAATCTTAACCACTAAAAGTACTTACTACTATTGTCTTCATTTATTTTCAGTGACATTTTACAGCCCTTTAAAGTGGTAATAATATAATTGCAATGAATAGGTCTAGGGGAATAATATTATCAAAATAACTGGAGGAACTATGCTGCCTGCCACAGCCCCATCAAATGAAGAAAACAAAAACGTTTGTTTCTTTGGCACTTGGGGTGGTTATCGTCCATTTATCGTTATCGAGGTTAACTGCTCAATTTATCGTGATATTGATTTTAGGCCATATCGCCCAGCCCTACTACAGACTGAACCTGCAGAATGAACCGCTTTCTCCCACAAGCTGTTAGAATGCTGAACTGGTGTTTAGGACATATACAGTACTACACCCAAGACTGTGTGGCAATGTTTCAACCTTAGTTTTGATTATTTGTCATTCCTACACAGTCACTTTTACCAAACTGGTATTAACCACTGGTTGCTGCTTACAGCCAGTGAGAGGCTATTTTACAGCTAGACGTCTTGGGCAGTGTGTGTGTTTGTGAGGTTGCTTAATTGACGTTTGTTTGTGTGTGTTTTTAAAGGTTTGTGTTGACCCTGAGGAAACACGCCTTTATTTTGCCTGCACTTGTTGGACAGCAAATTGAGTTTAACCCTTTAATGACCTCTATCTCATCAACATGATCAATACTTGCCATAATTTCAAAGTGCTATCGACAAAACTCTTTTTTTTTGTCTAAAATTAACATTGTTGTTAACAAAAAGTTGCCAAAACACCCAATGTATCAAATGTGATACAAAAAATATCTAATAAAAACATATCATACACAACATGATATAGCAAAACAAAGTGGATTTTGTTATAAGGGTTATTAAACATCTCAGTTCTTTGATGGGCTGGGTCTCACAGGGTTTCCAGATTATTTGTGTAAGTTTCATGACTCTAAAGTTGTCTTGGAAGGTTGTGACACTGTGTTCATGAAATCTGTATAAAGGTCTGAGACACAGTACTGAAAACAAGCTTTGCTGTAGTTCGACAGCTCAGCCACTTGATTGTGGTGTGTAATGAGACTTATTTTCACACAGTCATTTGGCGCTGTCACCAAGTGGCAACACTGTAACACAGCAGTTCATTTCCTGTGTATGTAAAGAATTTCAGTATATGTAACTGTAACTAATGTGTTCCTCCCTTTTCTCTCTCACTGTAGGCACTTCCTCTTTAAAACAGGCACAGGCACTACCCCCCTCTTCTCCACAGCTACTCCTGGCTACACTATGGCAACAGGCTCAGTGTACTCCCCTCCTACCAGGCCGTTACCTAGGAATACTCTATCCCGCTCAGCCTTCAAGTTCAAGAAATCCTCCAAGTACTGCTCATGGAGGTAAAATGAATTTTTCACCTTATTGTCCATCAGTAAGAAAGAGTACCTGCAAGCACACGCTTTGACTTTACTCAGAGTTTCAGGAGTTTGGGGAGATGCTGGCAAACAAGCTCGAGTTAGACCACTCCTGGGCCAATTTGGCTACCGGGGTATGTTCTTCAGATGAGTGGGAGAAACACACAGCACACTTTGCATCCTGTCTCTTTCAAGAACTTTCCCAGAGAGCACAGAGAGAGGCGGTTCTCCCAGATCCACACAACTGAAGTGATTTCTCTTTTGTCCTCATAGAGATCACATTTGATCAGTTTTGGGTCACTTGATAAATTAAATCAGTATATTTGTGTCGAGAAATAAATGCAAAATATGAAACTGTGTAAAGTGCATGACAGTCATTTTATTCACAGAAAGAGAGTTCATAGATATTTTTTTGTACTTGATAAGCATCAAATTTATCTTTTTATGCTTTGCTTCAGTAGAGTAGATGTTTATTTAAGTAGAATCAAAGAAAGTGGATCTATAAAACCATCAGCACGAGTGTGGAGCTCTCAGGTTCGAGGTAAACGATTGAAACAACTACAACAGGAGTGACAAGATATGCTGAGCAGAGCATTCATGAATGCTTTCATGTGTTGAGACTTTAAAGTAGAATCTAGAGAACAGCTGACTCTGCTATTTGTTTGCCTACCACAGATTTGTGGCTTATTGTAATGCCTTGGTAACTATTTATATCCTTTAACTCTCCTTTTGCAAGTTCCACACAAACCAGAAACACTCGGTGCAGGGCGAAACTCTGATCAGATGTTATCTTCCACAGACATAGAGATGCAGATATATTTTATCGGCAGTGTCCAATGATGCAGATAAAATGACCAATGTTAGGAAGTAGCATGAGGTATTTTGGGAGTGGTCACACAAGGCTTCAAGCTGGAGCTAACGTTTGTTTGCAAAAATAAATACAATCCCCAATAAGATGGTGGGATTGGTAATTAAAATAAATGAGTGCTTCCAAAATTACTCCAGAAAACTGTGACACGTGTTACAACCTTTGTTTCCTTTGTTTCCTTTTTTCTCAGGTGTACAGCCCTCAGTGCAGTAGGTCTGTCTGTACTGCTGTCTGTCATGCTCTGTTACTGCATCGGTAAGCTCACACACACACACACACACACACACACACACACACACACACACACACACACACACACACACCTATAATGCCACTGAATGACAAATGAAATCTTGTATTTGTGTCCACTGTTACTGTGAATTCCTGCCGTCTGTTCAGCGTCTTGATATAAGCCATCCTTGTGCTATTGTTGCTGCATGTGGGGTTTTCTCTCTGTGGGATGAGCCCATCAGATAACCAGATAGTTAAGTTATTAAACCCACACTCGGCAGAGACATAATACCAAGAGACAACACCTGCATAACAGTACAAAAGAATGACTCGTTAAGATCGTCCCCTGACAACATTACAGTTAGGAAATGCAGTATCTGTAAGTATTCATATATTATGTCTGAATTTTCATCTTTAAAAAAATAAATATATATATATATATATATTTATATATGTATGTATGCGTCACTTTTCCAGCTGTGGTCATAAAAAGCCCTTCAGTGCTTTTCTTTCTCCCCTGCAACACTTTCAAACTGTCAAAGCAATTTACTCCTTGTTAGATTGTGTGCAAGAAGGAAGAAGAGAAAAAACAGAGTCAGAGGGGAGTTTTTCTTTTTCCAAAGGTCATTGATTCCCACAATAGAACTAAAGCAATTACAGCTGAAGCTCAGACGGTCCTTGGACATGTAGATCCCTCGCCACTGGCTTTGTGGGCGGTGTGGTGTTGGTGGGTGGGGAGGGGGTCGGGGAGGGAGGGGGGAGCGACTGTAATGTCCACATTTTGACTTTTTTCTGGAAATAGAATTACGACTTTAATCTGGTACTTTCAACTTTATTCTCAGAATGCTCGGTGATATCTGTGTTTTTATTCGTGTGGCCCTGATACTACAAGCTAACGTCATACTGAGTAACAGTTTGATTACGTTGAGTTTATTTGCTAAATGCAAGTCACATTAGGCGAGGCCCACGTTAGAGCCATTTCAGAAAAGTTGCAGTAACAGTAACCACAGTCCTGCATAGCTGAGCAGGAGTGGGTGGTAGGCAGGACCGCGCTGTGATCTGAGATACAAGGCGGAAAGAAGAACGCTTTTTAAGAAATAAATGTCATAAGGTGGGAAAATAAACTTCCTGTCTGAACTAAGGAATCGACAAAAAGTGAGTGTGAAGCCAGGGAAGACACAGTGCTGTGAAAAAGTATTTTCCCAGAGGCCTGACTTTGGAATTCTTTGCATATTCATGACACTTAAATATTTCAAGTCATGAAACAAATGTTAAAATTATATAAAGATAACCTAAGTACATACAAAAGATGTAATCTGCCTATAATATTTGAATTGAAGGGACCCTCCCGACCCTCCTTGTTAATAATGAATTAACTGTGATTGGCCACATTTCTGGGAAAGCTTAGCTTCACTCACCCTGGTCTGATTACTGCCAGAGCTGCTGACAAAGTGAAGAAGGCTTAAAGACCTCAAATACAAACATATCCTCCTGTAACATGAAGAAACTCAGAAACAGATGAGACAACGCATGGATGGATGGAGCCTACAGTAAACAACATATATACACACCAGTGAAAGAACAAAGTCAATTTTAAGTTAGAAAACTGTCAAAGTAAAACTGACATTGTGTAAGAGTGTTAGACTTTGTGTTAATAAATAACACGTGCACTATAAATTAAAAAAAACAGGTGGGTGGAATCATATTGTCACATTCATCTTGTATCTGCCACAGAGTGAAGTTATTAATCAGTTTTATAGAGACAGGAATGATCACCTGAAGCAGGTTGAACCGGTCTGAAGGAGCTCTGTAGCCTCGGTAGTGTGGAGCGGTGCGTCTCATCAGCTGTCCATGATGGAGAGCAGTTTGGAGCTTGTTCAGTGACCTCCTGGGACTCACTGACTCTGATGGTTCCAACTTTGTGAATCAGTTTGTTGTTCCTGCTGGCGTCTCTGCACTGATGCTGCCCGGTACACAGTCTATCAATACATAGTTTATCAATACAAGTATTAGATATATTAGTCACAACTATGAAGAAACTATAAAGGAAAAACCTGAAACGTAACTACAGGAGCAGTCACCGCAACGAGACCAACCCCCAAAACAAGTTTTACAGGTGGTCCACTGACACTTTTTGCCTCCTCGAGATTGCTTTTTTTTTTTTTTTACTAGTTTTGCATTTGCCTACGGTCACTTTGGTAGCGTAAGGCGATACTTGGACTGATGGACTAATTCTTGTATAGTGTTTTTCTACTTTACCTGACCACTTAAAGCGCTTCATGCCTCATTCGCCCTTTCATACAAGCACTTTCTTTCTATTTAACATTCACATGCATTCACACTGCAGTGGATGCAATGGAGAGCAACATGGAGTTAGTATCTTGCCCAAGGATATTTGGCATGCAGACTGGAGCATTCAGAGATAAAAACATCAACCTTCCAATTAATAGACGACCTACCTCTTGAGCTATAGTCACCCCCTAAACCTGGACTCTAGAAATGATGTGCAGGTAGTCCAAAACCTCCAGGAAAGCACATCAATATTGACATTTTGCTACCAGCACAGTCTCAAGGGCATGGAGGAGATTTCAGGAGACAGGCAGTAACTCTAGGATAGCTGGACAGGTAACTGCACAGGTGCAGTCCTGTAGCAGAAGTATCTGCTCCTTTGTGCAACGAGGAACAGAGCCCTACAAAATAACCTCCAACTGGTGTGAATGTCTCCAACCAAAACCAAAGCTCCTGAGGAAAGCCTGAGGGTTCAGCGTCCTCTAGTGGGCTCTGTGAACACTGTCTGGCACAATGGAGGCTTACTGGCATTTGCCATAGAATAAAGGAATTGGCAGGCCCACCATGGGCACCCTGTGCCTTTTGCAGGTACACCCTGAGCACATGTTGCAAATGTGCAATGGTATGGAGAACGTTCTGCTGCCTGTAACTTCATTCAGCATGATGTTCTGGGGAGGCACAACCATGAAGGGCCACAGATGCACAGACCTCTGCAGGCTACTTAATGGCACCCTGACTTCCATCAGGTACCGGCTGTACTCCTTGGATCCATTGTCAGACCCTATGCTGGTAGCGTTGGTCCTAGGTTCTTCCTGGTGAATGACTATTTCATGTGGCCAGAGCATGCAGGCAGCTCATTGATGCCCAGGTCCAGATCCCCTGAGAGGAGAACCCTCCCCACACCCAGGATGTCATCTGTCATCTCATTCGGAGCCCTTATGCTGCACATGGGGGCCACACAAATCACTGAGTACTATTTTGTGTTACAGTGCAGTTTTCGGCTGCCAAGTTGCATAATTTCTTCGTCTTGATTTTCAGCGTGAGTATCTGTAGGTAGTACAAGGGGCAAAACAGGCTTCTATAGCTCAGCCTGCAGGGGTCACCCTGTAGCTCTCCATAAGACTTCTCTGTGGGTTTCTTCTGGCTTAAAAACAGTTAGCCCTCACAGTGAAGTCACACACACACACACACACGCACACACACACACACACGCGCACACACACGCACGCACACACACACACACACACACACACACACACACACACACACACACACACACACACACACACACACACACACACACAACAAGAAGATTGGTGATTTATATTTCTGTGCATTTTCATATTTCTGCGTCCCAGGTGCTATATGTTCTTTTTCCTTCTGTTTGGTTTTTATTAGAGATGCAGCATTGGTACATTACATTGTGCATTTCTATTTGTGTGCTATCCTTTTATTATATTTTCTCCTAACTTCCCTTTTTCTATTCTTCCTGTCAGCTTAGCCATTGTCAATTTTCAATTAAATTATATTCATATAGCGCCAAATCACAACAACAGTCACCTCAAGATGCTTTATATTGTCAGGTAGACCCTACAATAATACATGCAGAAGAAAACCCAACAATCATATGACCCCCTATGAGCAAGCACTTTGGCAACAGTGGGAAGGAAAAACTCCCTTTTAACAGGAAGAAACCTCCGGCAGAACCAGGCTCAGGGAGGGGCGGGGCCATCTGCTGTGATTGGTTGGGGTGAGAGAAGGAAGACAGGCTAAAGACATGCTGTGGAAGAGAGACAGAGGTTAATAACAGATATGATTCAATGCAGAGAGGTCTGTAAACACATAGTGAGTGAAGAAGAAACACCCAGTGCATCATGGGAATCCCCGGCAGCCTATGTCTATTGCAGCACAACTAAGGGAGGATTCAGGGTCACCTGGTCCAGCCCTAACTATATGCTTTAGCAAAAAGGAAAGTTTGAAGCCTAATCTTGAAAGTAGAGATAGTGTCTGTCTCCTGAATCCAAACTGGAAGCTGGTTCCACAGAAGAGGGGCCTGAAAACTGAAGGCTCTGCCTCCCATTCTACTTTTAAATACTCTAGGAACAACAAGTAGGCCTACAGAGCGAGAGCGAAGTGCTCTAATAAGGTGATATGGTACTACAAGGTCATTAAGATAAGATGGGGCCTGATTATTTAAGACCTTGTATGTGAGGAGCAGGATTTTGAATTCTGGATTTAACAGGGAGCCAATGAAGGGAAGCCAATATATTATTACATTGTCTTATTATATGACATTATATTATACATATAATGTAGTGACTGGAAGAACACTGATAGAAATCAATCAATAAACAGATAAAAGAAAAAGAGGAGCCTCTAGATTCATAAAATCTTGGAAAAGCAAAATGTTTTTGGCACAACTGTGCATCCACTGTGGGTGGGCTGAACTGGGCTCAGAGTGAAGCCCTGGTCTGCTTTGGGGTAGTCAGTCTTCTTCATGCTGCAGACTTTTCCACGATGAAGTTTCTATTGCACTCTTCTCATTATGTTGTCAGTTCCACAAAGGTAATATAAAATATCTAAATAATATGAAATATTTGGTAGCAGAAAGCTGCTGACACCATGTGATGGATGAATGTATAGTTTTTAGATTGAATCTACCTTTAAATCCACAAGATTGTTCTACTGGTTTTTCGCTCTCGCATGATCGTTGCCCTCGCCATTATCCTCTTACCTTATGACTCACACAGACGCCGACACATGCACATTCAGGCTGCTGTTGATTAGCCAGCACTCTCCCATGACCCTTTGCTCATGGCTCACTATGAGGGGTTGTGGGTAACAGGCTAGCACAGCAGGGCTCTAATTTAATGAGGCAGATGGTTGTCTATGTGTGTGCAGAATAACTGCATTAGTGTGTGTTGAGCGTCGTAGGAGGATCCACAGCAGGGGTTTCTCTCAATAAATGTTGCCATGTTAAATCAGTAATTGGTCCTTGACACAACTCACTGTAATATGTATTACAGTGAGAGTGCAGAAATCAGATATTCACGAATTCTTTTAAGTTCCAGACAGTAGAGACATTATAGAGGTGGAGCTTTGCTATTAGAACAATGTCATGTGTCACAATAATGTTGATCCTAGAAAAAAATAGCTCTGGAAAAAAAATTGGCTTAAGATTGTCACACAGAATATATCAACAGATTATATTAGTTGTTAACCTTTCTGTTTTTAAAGCAGCTACCTGTATTTTGTGATGAAGGTGTTGTTCAGCCTAAGGAGCTTGGAAAGAAAATCGTCTGAACTTCTGTAAGTTTTCTTGAAGGCGTTTCATCCCAGAAGGTTCTTCAGTTCTAAGAGCAATTGGCTGCGAGTCCCAGATTTAAGCCCTATGGGAGTGTCCGAAAGAGGGACATGGACCCCCTATTGATCCTCTAACTCACTAAATATATGAAGTGTTAAATGTGATATGTAGTCTGAAGCAGTGATGTGGTGGCTGTAGCTCAGAAGGTAGAACAATCTGCCAGTTAGCGGTTTAGTCTTTACCTGGTCCTGTGTGAGAGTTAAAGTGTCCTTGGACATACTGAAGCTCAAAGTTGTTGTTTGTTGGTGAGCTTGACAGACACAAAGTGCTGTTTAAGTTTGAATAAATGTGGCTTGTAAAAACAAGTGCTCTGAATGTGCAATGAGACTAGAAGTGAAATAAATAATGAAAAAGATGCTAATGATACAATTGTTATAACATTGTTGTATTTACATTTTTGTGTCATAACAAATTATCCAATCAAGCTATTTAGGAGAAAACACAAACATCAAGATAAGCTGTGGATGTCAAAGTGCTTAGAAAACACAGGAAAAGACTGTTTTTACAAGGTATCACAAGTGTGATAGTGTTTTATGTGTGTCTAGATTATGAACACTAATTGGTAAATTATTAACTAGTATTAAAAAGAGTAGATGAATTCGTCGTTCTCCATTTGGAGCATGTAGATAGCGTTATTGATGGGAACTTAATGTTTGTTTGTGTGTTTTATAACTTCTGCTTTCTTTTTTATTTTTAAATGTATTTTGTTTTTCATTTTATTTATATTTGTTCAAAATAAAGCTGTCAATCAAAAATGTGAAGTGTTTTATAAATAGCACTCCATGTTCATGTGCATCATACTTATTGGAGATGAAAAGATAACTGCGATACTGTAAAAACAGTTTATGTGCCTGGCTGAGTGTGGGTTTCCTTTCAGACAGACATCTGATTATCTATGGGCTTGATGATAGAAAAAGTATTTTGATCTGGATCAAATTAATCCCGCACTACAGATTTCCTCAGATACATAACAAATTTACAACTTTTTTATGTCTATAATTAAATCTAGAAGTCATCTTTACAGACTTTTGTTGAATTGAAAAACTGTTGCCTGTGTACTAGGATGTTTTGAATTGTTTGGCAAGTCCAACACAATGAGATGGCCAACAAGACAACGGTTACAGGTAAAGGAACCCTGAGACAGATGGAATAAAACAAAAAACTATCTGTATTTTAAAAATGAGGAAGAAAACACAAAATCCAAATAACAAAATGTTTCATAAGGGAGAAAAAATAGCTTCAGCTAATAAATGCAAGGCACTGGGGGTAAATAAACTACCAAAATAAAACAGGAGCTAAATAACCATTAACAGGGAAAGGCATAAAATTATATAACAGAGGGGGAAAGACGCAGGAGGACTAAACCCTCTGAAACAAACAGAAACTGGAACAATGAAATAAAAGATGAAAATACAGGGCTAAGAAAAAGTGTTTGTCCCCATCCTCAAAGAACCCAGACCAACATCAAAGTACCAGAACAACATCAAAGAACCCAGACCAACATCAAAGAACCCAGAACAACTTCAAAGTACCGAGACCAACATCAAAGAACCCAGACCAACTTCAAAGAACCCAGAACAACTTCAAAGTACCAGAACAACATCAAAGTACCCAGACCAACATCAAAGAACCCAGACCAACATCAAAGAACCCAGAACAACTTCAAAGTACCCAGACCAACATCAAAGAACCCAGACCAACATCAAAGAACCCAGAACAACTTCAAAGTACCAGAACAACATCAAAGTACCCAGACCAACATCAAAGAACCCAGACCAACATCAAAGAACCCAGAACAACTTCAAAGTACCAGAACAACATCAAAGTACCCAGACCAACATCAAAGAACCAGAACAACATCAAAGTACCAGAACAACATCAAAGTACCCAGACCAACATCAAAGAACCCAGAACAAACTTCAAAGTACCCGAGACCAACATCAAAGAACCCAGAACAACATCAAAGAACCCAGACCAACATCAAAGAACCCAGACCAACATCAAAGTACCAGAACAACATCAAAGTACCCAGACCAACATCAAAGAACCCAGAACAACTTCAAAGTACCGAGACCAACATCAAAGAACCCAGAACAACATCAAAGAACCCAGACCAACATCAAGTACAGAATACAAGAACCAAACATCAAAGAACCCAGAACAACATCAAAAAAAAAAAAAAAAAAAAAGAACCAGAAAACATCAAAGACCAAAAACATCAAAGAACCCAGAACAACATCAAAGAACCAGAACAACATCAAAGTACCAGAACAACATCAAAGACCAAAAATCAAAGAACCAGAACAACATCAAAGTACCCAGAAAACATCAAAGTACCAGAACAACATCAAAGAACCCAGACCAACATCAAAGAACCCAGAACAACTTCAAAGTACCAGAACAACATCAAAGTACCCAGACCAACATCAAAGAACCAGAACAACATCAAAGTACCCAGACCAACATCAAAGAACCCAGACCAACATCAAAGAACCCAGAACAACTTCAAAGTACCAGAACAACATCAAAGTAACCCAGACCAACATCAAAAGAACCAGAACAACATCAAAGTACCCAGACAACATCAAAGAACCCAGACCAACATCAAAGAACCCAGAACAACTTCAAAGTACCAGAACAACATCAAAGTACCCAGACAACATCAAAGAACCCAGACCAACATCAAAGTACCAGAACAACATCAAGAACCCAGAACAACATCAAAGAACCCAGAACAACATCAAAACCAGACAACATCAAAGTACCAGAACAACATCAAAAAAAAAAAAAACCAAACATCAAAGAACCCAGACCCTACATCAAAGTACCCAGAACAACCTCAAAGAACCCAGACCAACATCAAAGAACCCAGAACAACCTCAAAGAACCAGAATAACATCAAAGAACCCAGAACAACATCAAAGAACCCAGACCAACATCAAAGTACCCAGAACAACCTCAAAGAACCCAGACCAACATCAAAGAACCCAGACCTACATCAAAGAACCCAGAACAACCTCAAAGAACCCAGAACAACATCAAAGAACCCAGAATAACATCAAAGAACCCAGAATAATATCAAAGAACCCAGACCAACATCAAAGAACCGTGGCTCTCACTTGCCTCAGATAAGATATTGTTCATGATTCAAGGTTGAGATAAAGACTGGCAGAGTTCCAAAGAACAAACCTCTGCTGACTAAAGGAACACACAGACGTGTTCATGATCCACAAGACTTTTTGGAAACTATTCTGTGGAATTATGGCATAATATTTAAACATTTTGAAAGGTTTGCATCCTGTTACATGTGGTGCAAAATGAACAGCATTCCATAAAAAGGTCAAATATGGTGGTCGTAGTATGATGGGCTGCTGTTGCTTTGCTGCTTCAGGATCTGGATGACCTGGCGTGACCTTAAACAGGCTGTTCTCATAACCCTCCAATTTTATAGAAAGACGACATGGACAACATTCTTCCGCGGGGATGTTGAAATCCATATCGCAAACACTTACTCTTCTCGCTGCCAGCAGCACAACTTATTATTGGGCAATTCTTTTTTCACACAGGGCGAGACAGGTCCATTGTTTTTCACTTAATAAATCTGATTTTCATTTAAAACTGCATGTTCAGTGTTAGTCAGGTTTGTTTGTGATCTGAAACATGTGACACGCTTGCTCATTTGTTTCAACATAATTCTGAGGCTCCTTGTCCTGTAGGAGTGAACAACAGTTTGAGCTGAGATCTGTGATGAGCTGTGTGGTTGTGGATGTTTCTGTAGCTGGTGGATACTCGTTTCACTTTTTATCCTACTTATTTCTCAACTGAGATGTAGCAGGAGATGAGCTTGATGTTTAAAGTTGTCTGATGCTTTAACACAAACACACACCTGATGCTTGTTTATGTGTGTGTGTGGAGGTGAGCGAATGGTTAGACTGGTGTTCGCTTGCATATTTGAGTGTCTAATAGATTACTGCTGAACACTAAACATTTTGCCCCCCTGTTCGTCTGCTCCTCTTTGCAGCCATGCACCTGTTTGGTCTAAACTGGCAGCTTCAGGAGAGTGAGGGATACGGAGCCTTTGAAAATGGAGGTGGAGGAAGAGACACAACACCCAACACATTTATAGTGTCTACAGACAACAGTGAGTCCCTGCTTAAAGAATTTTTCCTTCCCTTTCTTTTGACATTAAAAACAATAAAAGCTGTGGAAAAGAGCTGGACGCAGGAGCCCAGGATAGCCTTCAGAGTTTACCACATATTATAATCTGCCACTCACTCTCAGAGGTCAGGGTTTCTCTCAGCCCTTTTCAGAGTCTGATGTTTGATATCACTTTGATGCTTGGCAGGCACACACACACACACACACACTGAGTTGGACTTGAACAACACCCTTAACTGGCTTTTTGAAGATGGAGATGTAGTGACCCTGCTCTGAGTCCCTCTGGACTCGAGGCAGAAGACAGGAAATGGACAGTACAACTCAAAGCAACCAGATACAAACCAAACAGATTTTCACATCAATAACATGCTTTGTTTTTAAGTTATGCAGTCTGAAAACTTATTTTGAAGGCAGTGACTAACAGCATTGCAAAGAAACCAGAGAAGTATTGTAAAAGAAAAATGAGTGTAACAGGTAACAGAGATGTAGGACAAAAGCCACGGCTGCTGACCTCACCCTGCCAGTCACGCTTTTGTTAAATGTGCAGCTTTTCTGTTCTGTGGTTATTCTCTCTCTTTGTCTGCCTGTCAGACTCTTTTAGTTTCATGTCTTCATTTTCTCAGCTTTTCTTGCCTTTTTTCTCAATTCGTTCTTTTCTTTTTCTCGCTGCTCATCCCTTCTGTTCACACCACAAAGCAGTGCTGAATAAAACTTAAAATGAGCGAGATAACAGCAGCACACACCGACTGTTGGAGGATGTTTACTGAAAGCTGTGAGGGCTCTGAAATCGTTGTTTGGAAACAGAGAAAGACTATAAATGTTTCCTTTCTGCTGGAAAAAGTTTGCTCCCAAACTTTAAACTTACAACAGTTTAAATGGTAAATGGCCTGTATTTATATAGCGCTTTACTAGTCCTAAGGACCCCAAATGAAAAAAAAAACAATGAATGCACCCACATAAAAATGTAAAATATTCAGCTTCAGCACAAATACATTAAAGACAATATTTGTTTGTCAGGGATATGAGTCGAAAACAAGTCACAGATAATGTTAAAGAAAAGAAAGAAAGAGTTAAACAGGTTTAAACGATTTAGGCAAAGAATGAGTTAAATGGCAGTGTTGGAAAGCAGATCTCCACTCCTGTGTGTTAGCTGTTATACACAGGAAGAGTGAGGAGAACTACAGAAACGTCAGGGGTGGGAGTCTTTCTCACATAAGAAATAATAGTTTGCGTCTTTGTGTTATATGCAGCATGTCATATCAGCTAATGCATAGCACAGGTAAATATTCACACTCTGCTGACACACCTGAGCCAGTGCTGGTGAACACACTCTAGCTCTACTCTCTGCAAACTACACTGCAGCTAAAGAAACACAAACAGGTGTGTGTGCCATGATTCCTTTGTGTGAAGGAACCTTTTCTCAGTATCAGTTAGTGTTAGTGTCACAGTCCACGACTGACACATTCAAGGACATTCAGTAAATCACATTGTTGCAGGTTTAAGGGCGTCTTTGCTTTAACAGTGTGGCAGTTCTGAACACAATAACATTAATAACACAACAGCCAAGTTAACTCATAATCCCGTCCATTACAGTATAATACATTCTGTCAACGTTTAGTAAGGTGTAGATTCTATAAAACATGCATCATTGACGTTTGTCCTTGTTGTTATGGCCCTCCCAGTCTTTTCTTTAATGGTTTGTGTGGTAGGTGTTCCAGGTTAACTGGTTTTTACTTTAACTGGTTAGATTTTTCTACAAATTCCACTTTCATTGTTCCAGATGTTATACCTGCAGATTATTCTTTACCCTCTTAAAAGCATGACATACACTGGAGTTTCTGTGTGAGGTATGGGGTACAGGTCAGGAGGAAGAACATGTCATCTACTAATCAAAGCAGTGGTGGTGGTTCAACTCCTGGCTGCTCGAGTCTGTGTGCCAAACATCCTTGAGCAACATATTAACCCCAAGTTGCTCTTTGTTGCGTTTCCTGTAGGCTGAATGTTGGATAGAAAGCACAGAAAAACATAGCAAAAGTGAATGAGGCAGGTTGTATAAAGCATCCAAGGTGCTTATACAACCTGCTCTGCAAGAGTAGAAAAGAACCAGCCCAGTTACCATTTACATATATAACTGTTAACCACAGGGATCAGCCACGTAAGCATGCCGACACTTTCTGAGGTTCAGCTTTTGTTTTCTTTCGTGACTTTGCACTCACTCAAAAGAAAACCTTAATTAACCTGTAAGAAATCTCTGAGTGTTATTATATGCTCACTTACTTACTGTTTTCAACTGACCAAACATAATCATTTCTTCTGCAGTGAATTTTCTGTAGTGAAGTACCACAACCAATGTAACCTGTCTCCAGTGTCTGTTAGCTCTCTAGCAAGCACTGGTATTATCTCCGATGTCGATGATGGACAGTGTTCTTCCTACGTAGCCATGATGGTGGCTTTTAGAGCATCTCATGGATTCAGTTTGATGTGTTTTCCTTCTGCAGGTAAGATGCTTTTTCTAGAGAACAACACCATAGACACAGGAGAGGTGGATGTGGGGAGACGAGCCATACAAGATATACCTGCAGGTGAGCTGTGTACACAAATGCACCTGTGTCGGGATCTGCTGTGATTAATACTCTGTAAACTCAGTGTAACATTTCCAACACCCCACACCAGTTTGTAGGATTGTTACATCGTGTAGTGGAATCTTTCTGTGTTTCACCTCCATGTTTCTGTTAATCAGTTATATCAGTGATGGCAGAGATTCTAACAATTCAGTGGAGTGTGTTACTTAAATCTACTACAAAGAGGAACGTAATCATATTATAATAACTACACTTGCAAACAAGGCAGCACAGTGGCGATTAGCACTGTTACACACAGCAACAAGGTCCTGAGTTCAATACCCCCACCTGCCCGGGCCTTTGCGTGGGTTCTCTGGCTTCACAGTCCAAAGACTTTCATTATCTAAATTGTGAGGATGGAGTTATAAATATTCCACATGTGAGGAACTCTGCATCTGTAGCACTGTGAATGAAATCACTAGTTTTGTTTACTGGTTTTCACTTCTGACATTATTTTCGAGTGTGTCACAGTAATAAGCCTTAAAGGTTAAACGGCTTTCTTGAAATGAATTCCTTTGCCACATATTTATGAATAAGACGCAGTAGTAACTTGTTGTGCTACAACACCACACGCAGTTGCAGGAAACAGAAGTCGATGGGAAATGAATAACAAATCACACTGTTTTTATAAAGACAATTAACACTGAGAAGGCGGCATTTCTGAAAGTCAGTTGGGGAGTGTTAATATTTAAATCACTGACGTTAATGTTGTTCTGTTTCTTTATTCAAGGTGTGTTTTGGAGGTCCCAGCTGTATATCGACCAACCACAGTTCCTGAAATTCAACATTTCCGTCCAGAGAGATGCTCTTGTTGGTGTGTATGGACGCAAAGGCCTACCACCTTCACATACACAGGTAACACGGGAATGCAAATGTTACCAGGACTACTTTAGAACTACTGCACCAACATATTGGAGAGTGGAAAAAGTGCATGAAGTGATATTTTCACCATTTGAAGTACTAATGAAGTAATGTCTAGCTTTAATCATTGATTCAAACAGCAGTGATAGAAAATGACACCTGAGTGATTTTCACGTTGTCGTGCGATGACATAGGTTCAAGTTTTTGCCATTTGGCAGTCAGCATTGACTTTTAAGAGACTGCTAATATATCCTCTGTGCCTCTGTGTCCATCCTTTCATTGTTAATAACATTCAGGGCTCTAGAGTGCGACCAAATATTTCAATGGTGCGACTAAAAAAAAAACATTGGTAGCAGCAGTGGCTCAGGGGGTTGGGAAGCGCATCTGTAACCGGAAGGTCGCCGGTTCGATCCCCGGGCTCTCTGTCCTGGTCATTGTGTCCTTGGGCAAGACACTTTACCCTACCGCCTACTGGTGTTGGCCAGAGGGGCCGATGGCGCGATATGGCAGCCTGGCTTCTGTCAGTCTGCCCCAGGGCAGCTGTGGCTACAACCGTAGCTGCCTCCACCAGTGTGTGAATGTGAGAGAGAATGAATAGTGGCATTGTAAAGCGTTTTGGGTGCCTTGAAAAGCGCTATATAAATCCAATCTATTATTATAGTCAGGGGCGGGACCTCTATGATATGAGAGAGAGGTGAGTAGCTTGAATAAAGCGATATCGATTCATTAAATCCTGAATCGACTTTTAAATATAAACTTATTTTGCCAGAAACGCCAGAATCTCAGGTTAAAGCTCACAAAACTATTTCAACAACCATCATGAGAGCAGGTAACGGACTCCACACAAAGACGTAAACACAGAGCGGACCTCCATGCATCAGAATCAGCTTTCTGTTTCGCGGCTTTCTCACCCGACGGCCCGTACACGGACACGCCGTCGGGGCTGAAAGCCGACAGCTCGCTGACTCTGATGTGTCTCTGATACGGCTTTTTTGCGCGAGATTCTGATGCTGCAGGTTTTGTCTCTTTCCAACCAAAATTCACTGAACCAGCAGCAAAAGAAGATCCAAACTACGCTTCACATAAACCTCGTCATGAATTCCCTCTGACTTCTGCTGTTTTGCACTTCATGCACAGCTCTCTCTCTCTCTCTCTCTCTCTGTACTTCCCGTCTCAGATCTCTGTTTTCGGCATCATTCATGTACTTATTACCCATCAGTCTACCGTTGTTTTAAAATGATGCAAAATTGCAGAATAGTTTTAAGTTTATCTGCAATAAAAAGCCAGGCCAGGAAAGTCTCCTTCATGTTTTTTTCTCTTTTATCCTCAGTTACTTTGACACAAACGCATCTGCTGTGATGTTCACACCTCTGATGAAGTCTCATGTGTATCAGGACTGATAAATGATCAGAATTATAATATTTCTGACTGTCTGAGGCAAAATTGAATCGAATCAGGACCTTGTGAATCGGGGTCGAATGGATTGTAGAAATCAGTGATGATACCCAGCCCTAGTGAGCCGTAGTGAGCAGCCTAGGCCTGACAGAAGTGGCTGCGATAGCACTGCCCAAGTGGCTCCTCCCCCAAACAGGCCGTCAGAGGAGCCGATGTGATGATTGAGTTTAACATTGTCTGCAATATTGCCAAAGAGTGCCAACGCACTTTAAGCACAAGCACCCATTCAGTAACTTGTCTTTCTTCTAGAAATGCACTCCAAATAAAGAACTTTGTGTTGACAAGATTGTTAGTAAATCATTTACAAATCAATTTTGTCTGCATAGACAGCAATTTCCCCCAAAAGTGCACATGTAGAACTGCTGTGTTAAGCGATGTGGTTGAAAACTTTGGGTGCGCCTAAGAAAAAAAGTTAGGCATAGCAGTGCAACCGTGGCAACAAGTTAGTGTAGTGCCCTGACATTATTTTCCAGCATCTGCGTGACTCATTTGTAAAAAACAAAAACAAAGCAACATTTTTTGAACAAAACAAAACAAAGTTCGGCTGAATGTTTTCGGTATTGCTGCGTCTCTGGTCTTTCTGAAGCTCTTTCACAGTTGCTGCTTCTTTGCTCATTTTTCCAGTGAATTTTCCTCTATTGGTCAAACGTATCTAAAGTCAGAGAAGGAAGCTGACTCAATGGGATGTGACCTTAAGTAAGTTTTAGCCCACTAAAGACTATTACTAATTATTAATTAATAAGTAATCATCTGGGAAAGGATAAGGAACTCATTTAGACAACAGATTACCTTCAAGAGAGAGTGACCTAACTCACCACTGAAGGCCTCAGGGGAGCAGAACGACGGAGAGGAAGTGTCAGAGCAGGTTCAGAGCTCGGGGACCAGGTTCGGCAGCCTTGGTGTTAGGGTTTGAATCATGGCGTATATCTCATTGGTGAATTTTCAGAAGAGAAGATAATCTGTTTATGTTGACCTAAAACATTATCCTGACATGGAACATGCAGAGTCTGTACATAACCAGATTGTTCTGTTATGTTGGCTGAACTCCAGTAAAGGCCTGACACAGGACCTGAGAGCTGCATCTGGCCCTTCAGCTGATCATCGACTGTTCGCTGAAGCCTGATGGTGTCGATGGGATCTGGTTAGAATTGGAACCATTTGACTGGCAATGGCTTCATGTTTGAGGATGACAATGGTCCCAAACACACGGCCAGTGCAGTAAAAGCATACTCGGATAGAAAAAACACACAATGGAAAGCTTGCAGTACTGGACTGGCTTCTCACAGTGTCAGCCTCAACATTATTGAAGTGCGATCATTCTGACAGAGAACAGAAAGAAAGGCAGCCGAGATCCAAAGACGGACCTTGGAATCTCCTTCAAGAAGCCTGGAGAATACTTCAATAAATGATGAGAAAATTACAGGTGGCACATATCATGTGGCTGTTTCTGTTTATGCTCGGTCATGTCTGAAAGGGACTGAGAGGAACCTTCATTTATAATGTAAATATAGATGAAAGGGCATCTGTCAAAAGGTTAGAAGCTATGTTATGCATTCAGCATACAGAGCTGACTCATTTAATTGTGGTGTATGTGTGCAATAGTTGCCATGGTAATGTAGGTCATGACCCTGGGATGAGATTTTGTAGGCAAAGGACGACATGATATGTTTCCAACTGAGACGATATTGATGTTTTTATCTTTACGCCTGAAAATGAAACCTCACTGAACCAGTGGCTGCAGCTGATATCTGTTCACTACTATAACATTTAGGACAGTTTGTCGTCGTCCCTAGTTCGTCTAACTTTTCTACTTTCAACAAATTTCCGAAATGCTCAGAAAAGCGCATCAAATCAACACAGGAACGACGGCGCCGTCCTAGTGGCAGCCTAAGGCAGCTGCTCTCCGACTCTCTGATTCTGATTCAAGTTATAAATATTTCACAGGCAACTTTGCAAGTGAGTGAAGTGCTTCGTAAATCTTAGTCCAAAATGAATATAAGCTTCTTCACTAAACTATTCCTTTAATGACGACATCTCTGTGTTCTGTCAGAGGACTAATCCACGCAGTCACACAGCTCAGTGTTAGCACTTTAGATGACTTTGCTTCCTGTAAAAGGGAGTTTTCCCCTTTCACTCATTGTTTTCTCTATTACTGTTGTTGTGAAATGGTCCATTACACACAGAGCGAATTTCATAGACGTCTGTTATGTCATGTGAATACTCAGAGTTTAATTGGTGATATATTTAAGATTCACCTAAGACCATGTGACAGCATCGTGGCCGGTTTAACTCAGTGGGCTGTGTGGCTGAGAGCGGCTGGCCAGGGTTCGAGGCTGACCTCTGTCCTTTCTGCATGTGTTTTATTTAAAGGGACAGTGCAGTCTAACATAGTCCAAGTGCAAAACATGAAACTTGTCATGGTCCTGCGGCCATGACTCAGTGGCTTTATGTTTATGTTCTTTATTGTTATTACTTTCATTATTATTCATGGCTGTTTTGGGATGGTTTGTGTTTGGGATTTTAGACACTGGGTTCTGGGTTTGTGCTCCCTCTGTTGGTCCCTGGTGTTAGTGTTCCCCTGTCTCATCAGGTTAATCAGGTCCAGCTGTTTCCCCCACCTGTGTGTGATTTCCCAGTGTCTCTCTGTGTACTTATAGTGTGTGATTTCCTCTGCTCCTCGTCGCGTCGTCTGTGTTCATACCTGGTGTAATCCCATGCGTGCTCTCCCTGCTGTTCTCCCTTCATGCTCAGGTTTGCTATTTCTTTGTGTAGTTTCTCCCAGTTAGTTCATCCTTAGTTCTGTTTTACCATCCCCACTTTATATTGGATATTATCAATAAATCACCCTCACACCTGAATAAGTGCTGCGTTTTGAGTCCTCCTTCCGCTCTCCACACGGCCGCTGCCCCGGACCGTGACAGTACGACGCGACCACAACATGGACCCAGCAGCGCTTAACCCGTCCAGGGAGCTACGGGAGACGCTCATCGATGCCACACAGGAGCTTATTGACCTGTGGCTGGAAAACCCGGGCGGGGAGTCCCAGCGCGCTATAGAGAGGCGGCTACAGCGTCTGGTGACCGGTCTCCCATGGCTTCTAGGCTCGCTATGTCCGTGGGAGCGGGAGTTTCTCCTTTTGGACCTTGGACTACACCCCCCGTCTGCATTCACTTTCGAGCAGCCCGATGCGGTGAGGACTTTGTTTTCTGGGGCTATTCAGAGCGGGATGGGAGACTGTACGGATCGCTTACCTACCTTCGTGGTAACGGATCCTTCCAAGTACAAACCCGCTGCAAAACTGACAGACTGTGTCTCTGCCGCTCCTTCTGAGCCAGGACTTTATTGCCATTCTCTGGCTCAGTTCTGTGTCCAGCCACAGGCTTCCCAGTCTGTAGCTCAACCATTAGCCTCCCTTAAGCCACAATTTTCACACTGTTTTTCCACCGCTGTTTCTGAGCAGGGAGACAAACTGTTTCACTACGGACCTGTTCCTCAAAAGCTGGCTACATTAGAGACTATTGCTCACTCCGGGGCTTCCCCAGAGGCTGGGTTACTGCCCTCAGCTTACTCTGGACCCCTGGAGGCCAAGATGCCAGCTGTGAACTGCACCTCCTTATGTGGGCCTCCGGCACACATAAGGAGGGCTGCAGCTGCGCAGAGCACTGACAGCCCTCCTTATGTGTGCCGGAGGCCCACGTGCCTACTGGTTTTGTTTCATATGTGCCAGAGGCCCACGTGCCTACTGGTTTTGTTTCATGTGTGCCGGGGCCCCGGTGCCCACTGGTTCTGTGGCTGTTTTCGCTGGGGGGCGCGAGGAGCCCGTCCAGCCTCCTGCTTCGCTAGCTGGGGGGCCCGAGGAGCCCGTCCAGCCTCGTGCCACACTGACTGCCACGTCGGCTGGGGGGCCCGAGGATCCCGTCCGGCCACCTGTGGCTGCTTCTCCACCTGTGGCTACTTCTCCACCTGTGGCTGCAGCGCCGCCTCCTGCAGTACCATCACCTGCAGCGCTACCACCTGCTACTGCCACGCCTCAGCCTGAAGCTTCAGCCTCGCCTGGTTCTGGTCCAGCTTCATCCTCACCTGGCCCAGCTTCAGCTTCAGCCTCGTCTGGTCCGGTTTCATCCACGCCTGGTCCGGCTTCATCCTCGGCTTCATCCTCGCCTGATTCTGGTCCAGCCTCATCCTCACCTGGCCCAGCTTCAGCTACAGCGTCAGCCTCGCCTGGCCCAGCTTCAGCTACAGCTTCGTCCTCGCCCGGCCCGGCTTCAGCTACAGCTTCTTCATCGCCTGGCCCGGTTTCATCCACGCCTGGCCCGGTTTCATCCACGCCTGGCCCGGTTTCATCCACGCCTGGCCCGGTTTCATCTCCAGCTTCAGCCTCGCCTGGTCCGGCTTCAGCTTCTGCTTCAGCGTCGCCTGGTCCAGCCTTCGTGTCTGCATCTTCGTCTGGTCCAGCCTTCGTGTCTGCAGCATCCGCACCATCGCCTGCAGCAGCGTCTTCAGCATCTTCGCCCGCTGCGGCCCCGGGCTTCCGTGCCTTCAGCCTCGCCTGGCCCAGCCTCGTTTGGGTCTGGAGCTAAACGGCCGTTTTCTAGACCGCTGGCTAGGCTACTGGCCGGGCGCCGTCGCCTGACTGGCCGCCGTTGCCTTCCGCACGGCCGGCCCCCGGACCGCCATCGCCTGAGCGGCCGCCGTTGCCTTCCGCACGCGGCCCCCGGACCTCTTCGCCTGAGCGGCCGCCATTGCCTTCCGCACGGTCGGCCCCCTGAACTTTTTGCGTGCCGTCACGGCCTTCTTCGTGGACGGCCTCCCGAACTCTTTACGAGCCGCCACGGCCTTCTTCGTGGCCGGCCGCCTGAACTGTGCTTCGGACTCTGCTCCCCTGTGAGTTTTGTGAACGTTTGTTTGGGACTCTGGGTCTTCATTTTGGTCATGGCCCGGTCCCTCCATCCTGGGCCCCCTGCCGCCCGCCCGGGTCTGGTGGTGTGTTTCTGTGGCTGTCAGGGCCAGCCCTTGAGGGGGGGGGTACTGTCATGGTCCTGCGGCCATGACTCAGTGACTTTATGTTTATGTTCTTTATTGTTATTACTTTCATTATTATTCATGGCTGTTTTGGGATGGTTTGTGTTTGGGATTTTAGACACTGGGTTCTGGGTTTGTGCTCCCTCTGTTGGTCCCTGGTGTTAGTGTTCCCCTGTCTCGTCAGGTTAATCAGGTCCAGCTGTTTCCCCCATCTGTGTGTGATTTCCCAGTGTCTCTTTGTGTACTTATAGTGTGTGATTTCCTCTGCTCCTCGTCGCGTCGTCTGTGTTCATACCCTGTGAAATCCCCTGCGTGCTCTCCCTGCTGTTCTCCCTTCATGCTCAGGTTTGCTATTTCTTTGTGTAGTTTCTCCCAGTTAGTTCATCCTTAGTTCTGTTTTACCATCCCCAATTTATATTGGATATTATCAATAAATCACCCTCACACCTGAATAAGTGCTGCGTTTTGAGTCCTCCTTCCGCTCTCCACACGGCCGCTGCCCTGGACCGTGACAAAACTGATGTAACGCACATAAGTTTAGAGTTATTGCTCATTTTCAACCATTGTCCCTTGTCACAATCACAATGCACATATTTTACAATAGAACATAAATTTTCATAAAACTAAAATACATCATGGATACAACTACAATTAATAGACAATAAATAAAAAAACAACAACAACAAAAAATCATTCATTAAAATGACGACAGCTCTGATTTGCCTTTAACTAAACTTTGACCTTCACTGTAAAGGGTCTGATGTTTTACTTCGGTTGGAAGTGTGCTCCACAGACGGCAAGCTGGAAAATGCTGACTGACCAAATGTAGCTCTGCGATGTGAAACCTTACGGTCACCATGCTCCCTAGTAAGATGTGTTCTCACTGCACTGCCTAACAAAGCCAGTAAGAGGCCAAAAAAGACCACTCGATTGTCACACTGACCTGCACTGCTGTCCTTGCCAGGCCTTGGCCCTTCAGGAGAATCCAGGTACTGTGCAGGGTGACAGAAACTGGACATGCTGAGCATCACCTCTAAATCTCAAAGAGCACAGTGGTTAGATTGTCATAGCTGAAACTTTAGGCTAAACCTTGGGGAAAATAAGATGTTTGCATTATTGTGCTTTTTTGTTTTCCAGTATGACTTTGTGGAACTGTTGGATGGTAGTCGACTTATTTCGAAAGACAAACGAGCACTGAGTGACACCGACGCAGCACACATACGTCTAGCCGGTTCTTTCGAAGAAGAATCTGAGGGAGGCCCCCGACATATCCGCTCCGTGAATGTGCATGAGGCTGGGTTCATCCAGTACCTGGACACTGGAATCTGGCACCTGGCGTTTTACAATGATGGACGAAACACAGAACAAGTCTCCTACAATACCATCATCATAGGTGAGACATGCTTGTTCTTCCTGGGACGTTGCTGTAAGAGTGAGTGCACCTCTTCAAAGCATGTGCTCAACGTATGTGCTACCAGCTTGTTGTTACAGAAATTCAAATCTACTACTACTGTTAATAATAACAACAATAATTATAGTGAGAAACATCAAAGCAGGTTCTGGAGCTCATGGTTATCTGGAACGTGACAGACAACTCGATCTTAACTCGAAGCAACGTTGAGTAAAGCTGCATTCGATTCCCTGATAAGTTATCTCGAAAAATGAGTTTGAAGTGAAAATACAGACAGTTGACTAACAGATTCAAGCCCAGAACTTTCTGTGAGGGAACATCAGTCACGATATAATCTACATGTAAATGACAACAACATTTCATCCAGTTTTACTTTTTAACCAAACTGGTTGTGGTTATGCACCACTTACATAATCGTCTGTTAGGGTTAGCGCTGTAAAAAGGATTATTCTGTCTTTGTTTAACATACTAGAAACCTTGAATGGGCTTTTTAGGGAAATGCAGGCACGATAAATGAATTTGGCAGATAAACCTGGTGAGACTGAAGCGACCTGCAACTATATTGGCTGGATGTGATTTTCAATAAAAGACCAATATTTAATGTAATACTAGTGTGCTGTGAAACCTTCACTGGCACACGTGTGTGCAGTTTTAATTAGAGCAAAGGAGCAAAGAAAAGCACGGCAGAGAGGGAAAGAGCGGTTGTGGTGATTGGATGCATTGATTGGACTAATTGGCTGTAACTATGGTAATAGCAGAAGAGCAGTCACACAGTTTGGTGTGTGTATGTCTTTAAATAATCTCTCTCTCCCACTTTAAATCAGAGTCGATTATGGAGTGTCCTCACAATTGTCATGGAAACGGTGAATGTCTCTCGGGGATTTGCCACTGTTTCCCAGGATTCCTGGGGCCCGACTGCTCTCGAGGTAAACGATCCTGCCTCGCCTACAGGGAAGAAGCAATTGTTGCATGATCCCCCGTTACCTTTAGCAAAGGAGACACTGACCATGACAAAGACTTTAAATATTTTGCATGTTTTCAGCTGCTCTGCTCCTTAATCAATCAAGAATGATTGAAAAGTTACACTAAGTGTTTATAGGGCACGAGCTTTATAACTGAATAGCATTTTATTGAACATTAATCCATCTTAGTTGTTTACACAGTACGTAGCTTGATGGGAACTCGAGGGTTCAATTATCTTACTGCCTTTGTTGGGTGATTTAGTAAGTGTGACTTGTTCCGTTCATGCATGTGTCTGGTGCAGCGTCCTGCCCGGTGCTGTGCAGCGGTAACGGTCAGTACTCTCGTGGACGCTGCCAGTGCTACAGTGGTTGGAAAGGTACCGAGTGCGACGTGCCAGCCAACCAGTGTATTGACATCCACTGTGGAGGACATGGTATCTGCATAATGGGCGCCTGCATCTGCAACACTGGTTATAAGGGAGAGAACTGTGAGGAAGGTAAGAGTGTGAAAGTGTCACCACAGCACTGAAGTTCCACATAATCTTTCATTCAGTAAACTATTGTTATTCTAATTATTATTTCTCTTGTGTTGTTTTGGTGTTAATGTTATTTCTGCATGTGATCATCTTATAGTGTCTCACACTTGTGCAGAATATTAAACTCTTAAATATCATGTGTAGACCTGTCATGGCCAGAGGCACCTGTGATGCTTTTAACTTAGATTTAACTCTGTTTGGACTAATATATCCAAACTCTCTGACAAATACTCAGGAAAAAGGCCCTGTTAGCCGTTAGTAACATGCTACAGTTACCTCATCTGGTTCCATTAGTTTCGGTTTTCAACAATAAAACTGAGAAAGAGCAGATCCATCTCTCGCATGGACGAAGGTTTATGCTTTTCTGTTTTTGCCTCCATCTGTTGTCATGATTAGCTGGTATCTATGCAGATAGAATAAGAGTCCTAACAGTAGAGAGGGGCTCGACTGCTGCATCAGTAACAAAGTGGAATCGACTGGGACTGACAGCGACTCACACATGCAGCGGTACGCTACACAAGCTCACAAAGTGGAGTCAGTGGACGCTGAAGCACAGAGTGTGGTAGGAGGCTTTCTGCAGAGTCGGGCACTACAGTCACGTGACTGCACGTCACCTTCAGATTAGCTGAAGAACAGTGCGCTTTCCATGGCTGAGCAGATGCATCCAAGCCTTGCATCACCAAGTGATGTGTCACGTGGAGTGAAGCACACTTCCACTGGACTCTGTAGCTGTGGAGAGGTGTTCTGTGGAGCGATGAACCATGCTTCTCTGCCTGGCAGTCCCATGGATGACTCTTTACTATAATGCTCTTCCTCTACAATAATTCAATTATTTAATTGTCCTTTTGTTCAAACTTCCTGCCCTGTACTTTATCAAACTCCTTCCTGAGATTTTATCCAATAAATATCATCTAAAGATGCTAAATTGTGAAGCAGGTCACAGAGAGAGGAACCTTGTGACCATTTTCAATAAAATCTCGCTGGTGATATAAAAAAATGTGACATATTCTTAGTGTGTGTTGCCATGGGCACA